GGGTTATATGGTATGGGTTTTTATGTAAGCCGCTTGGATTGTCATTCAATAAGTGGGATATAAATAAATTTTATTATTTTTTATTATTATTATTATTAAAAGTCGACTCAATTTTTGGAGGTTAATATTTTGACTAAAATTTCCTAGAGTCTATACATGAGTCTATAAAGTAGGCAGATATGAGGCATCCTTAGAAGGGGTGGGGTTGTTTATGCATTTGTTTCGCACTCTTCCTAACCAAAATGTAATCTTCCAAACTCTGTTGACGCTTCTTAAATTGCTTTTCTTCTTTTCTCTTTCTTTTCTCCTTCAGGACTCCCTGATTCCGGCCCCCACACCTCTCCCCCACCCTACAACAACCCTCTCCAGCCCCCACCTCCGCCTCCCCAGGATGCCCCCATCCCCGGGTACAGTGACCTCCCTCCCACAACTGTCCACTCGGGCACCGCTACATTGCCCCGACTTGGTGGGGCTGCTACTCTGCCTCGGCCTCCCCCTACGTCAGCCACCCTCCCTCGCCCACCCCGCCACCATTCAGCCACCCTGCCTCGCCTTCCCCCGGATCCCTACATGCAGGAAACGCAGTTCAATGGAGCTCCCCAGGGCTACGTAGTACAGACGCACCCTCCGGTGGGGACCCTCCCAATTGGAGGGTACATGCATCCAGGATACCCTGTCCAGCTGCAGCCCTGCACAGCCTACGTCCCTGTCTACCCTGTAGGGGCGGTAAGTGTTTTTATAGTGGAAAAACACCTTCAGATGCTCATGTGGAATATCTTTTATTGTATATGAAGAGGGATGTTGAGGTTCTCTGAATGGCACTGAAAACGTGGCCCAGCTCTGATCTAACAAGAAGCCATGATTTCATGCTGGGTGAATGTAGCATATAACAATATAATAAATATAATAATAAATTTTATTTATACCCTGCCTTTAGCCGAAACTATCAAGGCGGCTTACATTAAAAGTACAACCCGCATTCTATGACAATCATATAACCCCCCCTTAAAATTACAATTAAATCCCCTCTTTTGCCATCGTAAGACTCTAGTTCCACTATTAAGCAAACCACAGTTCCCAGTAATATCAGAACTCAAAACTGTGGCTTGCTTAAACTATCGTTGAGAGCTGTGGCAGCTGATGACTTCCATGTCAGCAGGGGAGTAATTCCACTTCAGGTATTAATTTTAAAGGAGCTATCCAAAGTGCAGGATTTATTTTGGTACTGGTTTCAACACCTTGGATAGCTCCTTTTAAAAGTTCCTAAAACCTGTAACAAATTCAGCATACCACTGAGATTGTTGTCACCAGCCGTCACTGTCTGAGAACAAGCCAGGATTTTAAATTATGTTTGGTCCTGGTTTACTTACACTAATCATGACAGCTCCCAGAGTTTGGATAGCACTGGAAACTTGGGTTTATTTAGAAGCAGAACTGCATACTTTCAATCTCTTCTTCTTGGTGAGGGAAAGGGAAAAGAGAGAGAGAGAGAGCACAGGAGTATTCTGTTAATTCTGACTTATGGTGACACTTTTTCTGGCATTGTTTTTGGCAAGATTTATTCAAAGAAATGTTGCCAAACAGCCAGAACAGTAGTCCAATTGTTTTGTAATACTAATTAACTGTTTTCAGTATTAATAGAATTTAATGCAGCAATATTTTAAAAAATAAGGATCAATTAATGTCACATATCCTAGTGCAGTGATGGTGAACTTTTTAGAGACATAGGGCCTTTGCAGACTGCCAGAAATAGTGCAAATTGAGTCCACTTTATCAGCTCTAACTCAGTGCTGGGGAATCATGGGAACTGTAGATTATTTTGGCACCAGAGCTCTCTGACAGAAGGCTCAATGTCTCAGAAAAAAATACAGTTCCCATGATTCCCTAGCACTGAGCCAGGGCAGTTAAAGTGGACTCAATTTGCACCATTTCTAGCGGTCTGCAAAGGTCCATAGAGCCTTTATAGAGCTGCCCCTGCGAGCAACGGATTAGGCCGTGGCAACCACACGCCATGGCCCCGATTCTCCCTTTTGCCGCCCCCAAAAGAGTAGCAAAATGCCGCTCCTTTTAAGGGTGGCAAAAGGCCGCCCTAAGAGACAATGCCGTGGCTCTTCTGCACCCTTTTGGCGCAGCGTGTGTGTGCAGCGTCAGGACTGTGTCGGGGTTGCGTTAGGGTGGCCGGCTGCCCCATCCCAAGCTGGTCCTTTAGGCCGGTCTGCAAAGCTCCTGAGTGTCCAAACTGCAACCCCAAACCTCCTTATTTATCACAAAGTGCTATGCCCCTCTGGCTGTCAAATAATGAACTCTGGTGAACTCTGTGCTGGGGCGATGGCATGCATGCCCACAGAGAGAGCTCTGAGTGCCACTTCTGGCATGCATGCCTATGGACGTTATCACACGTGGGCCAGAAAGCGAAAATAAAGTGG